AGTCTTGGCTTGACGAAGAGAGGCTGCATAACGGAATAAGCTTTTAGAATTGGGGGCAAATTTGTCCATAAGCTTTGTCTGGTACTGAAACCTATCTTCTCTTATAGCCTTCGTGCATATGTTCCTGATATTTTTATATTGCCAGTACGCTACGTCGTTTTCAGTTCGTTTGTATTCCGCCCAACAGCGCCTTCTGCGGCTTAGGAGGCGAAGGGTACGGTCCTTTATTACTGTAAGTGGCTTGCAGCTTTTGGGAACCGTTTGAGGAACTGAATGGTTTGTAGCACGTAAGAGCGTGTGAAGTAAGAAGTCCAATGCCCGTCCACGTCGAGTTAGGGGTGGACATCGTGTAGAGCGTGCGCATTTAACCGTTTAAAATTCCAACACAAGTTATTGGTGGGGTATCTTAGCTTAGTTTTGCTGACAAAACTGAAGGCTATGACGGCACGATCGCTCTTTCCCAGAGGAGCCAGGATTGAGAGGTTGTCAACTAGGAATTCTTCGTTTGTGAACACACAGTCTAAGCGCCATGGTGTTTGACTGTTTCTCAAACGAGTTGCCGACCTCACGTTTTCAAACAATCCCAAGTCATCGATGAGGTTGAAGAACTGAGCTTCAATTGAGTTGTCGCCTCCAGTATACGTGTGTTCCGCGAAGTCGACTCTAGGGAGATTAAAGTCCCCTAGAATCAGGATGTGTGTGAGACCGAGACGAGTAGAGCGGGGTAGTCCTTACAACATACAACTATCGTACTCGATGTCGGCAGTTGGCTTCCTGTAAATGACTCCGACTGGACACCTCGAAGTAGCAGACAATCTTACAGAGCACCAATGGGTTCCTCAAGAGTGTTAAACTCGAGGTTATGAACTTGATGTACCTCCAAGCAAGATTGTATGTAGATGGCTACTCCACCGCCAATTCCTGACTTTATATCGTTGCGAAACAAAGACATCCCAGGTACTGCTAACTCCTGGTCCGAGAACTGATAAGATATCCAAGTTTCAGTTATTCCTGTCAGATGAGTCCTATTAGTATTGCTAAGTTCACGTAGCTCATCCATTTTGTTCGGTAGACTCGCGGCGTTCATATATAAGCAGTTTATACTTTCAATTTGAAACGCATGAGCTTCTTCCTGTTTGTCTGTATGAGCCTCACGTAAATGGACAGGTAGCCTACTTGTATAATGTTTTCCGAGTTGATAGGTCCTTTCCTTTACACGTTTTTTTATCATCAAGACAGTTCACAAGTGGAATGGTCAGCTCCAACTTGCTTTCGTGCTTGGTCCTAGCTTTATATGGCTTATCCGGGTGCATATGGATTCCAACTGGCAACCGACGTCTGTTGGCACGAAAGGCCTCCAGAGTTGAAGCCGCCATGTGGGAGGATGGGGAAGTTATCTTCATTAGCCGGGGTAAGGAATCACCGTCCTTCTTAGCTAAATTTCAAAGTAGTAATTTACGAGTGACATGTAAAATGGTTCCCACTGATATCACAAAATAAAAATATGTATCGACTCTCCATTTGAAGAATTCGGCACAATCCAAAAACATGTGATTCACCAAGGTTAGTGATCTGTGTCAGCAACTGCAGTCGACACCAGTTGAAGTAACACTTCGCGGTTAAAACCCTATCGTGATATCCACACACTTTGATGACTATGTGAAAGAACTATATAGCACGATAAACAGGAAAAACAGAATATGGTAACTGTCATACAAACCAGTTCATGAGAGATTTACGTTACTGGGCAATGACGAGATAAAATCTCAATGTCGTGAAGCTCGAAATATTTATGCCTCGACTGTGATGAATAGAAGTATTTGAATTATTGCAAAAACTAAGGATCCCAGAAATAATGCAATTTAACCAAGAAGTATTATATGAGCACGAACGAATGTTTTGTAGTTGGAACAACAAAATGAAAAATCTGATAAGTTGATTGGCCAGAAGCTTTTGTTTCACAATAATTCTGAGTTTCATTTAATTCTGGACTGCCATATGACAATATACTGTTTTTCTAAGTCGTGAATAAAGATAAATGATCATTAGAAACGCCCAACTCAACAGGATCACAATTACAAAACTTAGCATTGCTTGCAGCGAAATGAATAGTTGTATTACAGACTGTATGTGTCCAGCCATGCCACATTTAAAGCATTTAAGATTACGAAATATACATGAATTACATGGGTGAAACGTGCTACGGAACAAGCATTTACCAAATTTGTGCTCATCTTCGTGACCTGCATCTCAACTTCTCAATGAATTGTTATCTGGATGACCTCGATTACGCATTGGATTGGGATGATCTACTAATGTAAGCGGATTTTTTATATGCCGACGAATCATTTCATGAAATTTTTCTCCTTCACTGCACTCAAAATTTACACACTTTACACTATCTAGCAATATATTCTTGAGAGTTTCAAAAGGAAATGAAATAGGGTTACCTGAAAATGCCAAAGATTTTCATAAGCTGTAGGCTTACTCACTGATAAATGTAAAGAAATGATCCACAACATCGACATTCTCAACATCTTCCCTGGTCATAGATCAGATTTCAAAACTTTTCATATGAACTTCAAGAGCTGCAAAACTTGAATGAATGTCCAACTGTTCGATCTTAGACTCCATAGCGACGCCGATGTGATAGTTTGAGGTATCTGAATTATTGTGCAAACTAGGAATGCCAGAAATTACTTAATTTAACCAAGAAGTATTGTATGAACATGAATGAATGTATTGCATTTGGAATTCGGAATCAGGCAGTCATTAATTACAAATGAATCATTAGTTTGTAGCGTGGCGTCGAGTTGAGGTTAACTATGAACACTGCTACCAAGAAACATGTGCCAAATAAATCAGAAGGCGAAGGTTGGGCGTAACCGAAGAAACCACTAAAATTTCCGAGAAGCCAAATACCAGAAGGCAAGTAGTGGACCAAGTCGAGTTATATTTGCTGGCGATCTCGTGGCATCGAAAGGATACCGAGATCGTGCCAGGATACAACCTTGGTTACAGAAGGTAACCGAATTCGCGCGAAGTTACAATCGAAGTGTGGGAATAAGAATGGAAGTACAATATAGCTGTCATTAGCACAGTCAAACAAAAGCACGTTACAACAAACACTGGTACAGTTGGTTATAATAATAATTGTTTTTATTAAACCAGTCGTGTTCTCGTGATAAATGTGAGTCACTACAAGTTCATACAAACACTACACTTGAGCCTCCATGTATCTATAGGGTTATACGAAGAAAAGCTTATTAAGGAATCTATAGAATACCACAGACGCTTATTCTCTTACGTATACCAAAGGACCAAGAGAAGAGGAAATGCTCCAGCATTGTGGAGAGACTGTAATACTGCATCACTAGTGAAGGACGATTATGGTAAAGCCTAGGTATTCTCAAATTACTTCCACAATGTTTGTACCATAGAAGTGCCCCCCCTCTTTCAGTTCATACAAGCCCCTCCACATAAATAAACACCGCACAATGTAATCATTATGGAACTCGATGTCCTTGGCCAGCTAAATGAGCTTGATATAGGCAAATCCATGGGACTCGATGTAATGCGACCTAGGTTACTAAAATGGCTGGCGAATTTCGTCGCGAGTTCCTTGAACTGTATGTTTTAATCTGTCTTTAACCCAGGTTCGATTACCAAAAGTCTGGAAGAACTATATGGTGGGTCCTGTCTTCGAAACAGTTACAGTACTCAAGTACGGGAATTATTGAACCGTGATCCTAAAGAGCTTGCTCGAAAAAATTGAAAAAATATTATTTGCAGGAAGTTGTTTAAATATCTCTACGAAAGCTGGATTCGTTCTGAGAAGCAGTATGACTTTGGAAAAGGTCACTGAAGTCTCACTAACTGGTTAGTAACCCGTGAGTGTTTGTGAGCTATTAAAGACCAAAATCTACTTATAAATGTGGCCTACATTGATTTCAGTGAAACTATTGACAGAGTTTCTTCCAACTGGCTATTATATAAGTTAATTATTCACGATTGGAGGTAATTTATTATTGTGGATAAAATACTTCCTAGTTGAGTGTCAAAAAAGAGAACGGATGAACTCAAAGCTGTCCGACTAGGAAACTATGCTTATTGGAGTGCCTCAGGGTACAGTTTTTGGGGCCAGTGTTGTTCTTCATGTATGTAAATGAATTGCCTAGTCTCTGGCCATCATCGATTTTGTCACAAGCTGACGACGTCGAGATATGGAGAGATAAAAGGTATAAGTGATAGCTTGAACCTTCAAAATGAATTGTAGAAATTTTATGACTGGCCTGAGATTTGGCGATAAGTGCTTCTGACTGCATTGGGATTCATATTGGTCACTAAGGTACAGATACGTACGTGATGAATTACATTCAGCTACCTTTTGTCCAGACACATAATGACTCACATTTCTTGTCTTTCAAAATAGAGGATTTACGAGAACACTCTAAAGAGTTCACAAGTCTAGAAGAAATGACTTGTTAGCTGACTATCAACTTTCTATCGAGTCATTAATTAAGGGAATTCATAATCTTAATACATGATTCAAGCTTCACCTGTTTACGCATTCAAAAGAACGTCGGGTCAACTGAGAGACTATCATCATCAGGGCTAACATCGGTTATTTATAATGAGTGATTTGGTATGAAACAATGAAAACCGGTGTATCAGATTTTTAAAATTCCACTCTTAAGGTACTGCTATTTTTTATCGATTCCCATCCATTATATATATAATCCATGTATTTTTAATAAGTCAGGTTTCTGTATATATTTGTGACATTTTTGCCTATATTTTTTTTAACTTTCAGAAGAATCATGTCAACAAAGGTGATCGAAATTTGCTATCCATACTGATGTGCATGTTTATGACAATGACAAATTTTATAGTCATTCAATTCATGTAGCTAACACAATATGATTGTTACTTTGTGGTCACTATAAAAATAAACGTTACATTTCCCACAACATCATGTTATAATTTATCATTGTGACATTCAAGTTTTATGATGATAATCTCTATTTGATATTTAGATTCTTTTGTGCAATGATCTACACATATTTACATAACAATTTAGAAGAATTAAAGACAAACAAATACAGAGTGGCTTTCTTCTAACAAGGATTATCCTAATAAGTTCGATTTTAAAATAAAGAAAAGTCATATTATAATTTAACAAATTTTTTCCTATAAAAAGAAACAGATGATATTCAATTTAGAAATAATATGAATATTGTTAAGATTATCATTAATATAAAATATACTTAATAAATGCAATGAAACAATGTCAAATGATGAAAAGAAATGAAACTAAGATACAATGCAGTAAAATATTAAAACAAAATAAAAGAATAATTAAATTATTAATGGTCGATATTTACTTAACATTTCAATAGTTTCACATAGATGACATGTTTTTAAGCATAATTTAGAGACATGTGGAAAATTACAATAACCTGTCTTTTTCCAAGCGATACAAGATGTCTTCGGGTATTGATCGATACATTCCTGTTTATCGTCAGAATCTATAGAACAAAAAGTTATATTTGAATGTAAGTGTCATTATAAAGAAGAAATATAAGTGAAAAATTTTGCTATTACTTTCTCATTTCATATAATATCACAAAAAATTTATCATTCGAAATTACATGAACCATTTACTAGACAGTAATTACGATCATGCCCTTTAAAGGATAAAGTCGTTATTTATAATGAGATCTATTTTAAACAATTTCAGTTTTTAATTCAAGAACAAAATTCAGCTTAACTATATAAATGTTCACTGTTATCATATTTAAAAGGTGAATCAGCATTTCATACATCGTATTGATTCAATTTTAGCTTCAATTAACTGACCGATATTATGTTGTCAATTTGTCCCCGTAATGTAATTATAAATAAATAAGTTTATTTCTAATATACCAGTGGGTAGAAAAATTAGATTTTCTGACGTTTCGTGACTTAGTGTAAGCCACTTCTTCAGAGAATAAATAATCAAATCAAAATTAATCCAAGTTTAAATAGTACAACGGAACAACAAGAATATTATGGACACTGAGTGAAGAAACGTCAGAAAATGTAGTTTTTCTACTCATTGGGATATTACAAATATATTATTTATTTATAACAATCTACCCAATGGTCAATTTATTCAAACTAATTTAATCAAACCTTGGTAGCGATACCTAGATAATGTATTTAATTGTGCAATTGAAATATATGTTACTGTACTTAATTATTACAATCAAAAGTTCACATTTTATTCTATGTTTCTACTACCAGCTTCAAATTTCAAAAGGACAAGTAGATAACACGAGGAACTTCAGAAATGCTTTATTAACATTCATAAAATGTGTAAAACATTTTCTGGCATCAAATTGATTTATCTGACAATGATTCATCTCATTATTTTCAAGTTAAATTAAATCGATACCTTTCAATCAGTGAAGCTTTTGGTAGCCCGTGCATCTGACTCCAAGGAGATCGTAATGATGATTGTTGTTGAATTATGTATGTCGCCTATTCTCGTACACAGTCATCGACTTAAATCACGTTAGTCCATAACGGAATGTAGATAAGTTGATTAACGAGAATGGCCTTTGAATACATATACTTTGTATGTAAAGTGAATGTAATAGAACAAAGCAAAATGACGTGCAGGGGAGATGGCTGGTAAGCCAACTCCATTTCTAGCCAGGCGTTTCTCAATATTTATAGGCAGACAAAATAAACTACAGACATGTGATGAGACATGGGATATGAAGTGTACACACATATGCACTCATATAAAAACGGTCAAGATTGATAAGCGAATAATTAACAGTGTCAAAATATGACTCAAGTATAATGAATAGATTGGGCTGTTCGAAAGTTAGAATAAAGTATATGGGCTTAACATAATGACTGACACTACAAGCTTCAATAAAAGTATGTGTAATAGTTCATTTCAGTGAAGTTTATCGACTGAATAAATAACGAATATAGACAACTAAGCAACTGATATTTCGATTTCATATTTGGCTTTGAAATTTTTTTCATCACCGACGAGCAATATATTACTTTTTGTTTTATTGAAAAATGAACTAATATCCAAATTTTTAATACCTTGATTTACACTGAGGCAGATTACTAAATGTATAAAAAGTTTAGGGTTAAATTTCAACAAGTTTCCGTTTCTTTCTTCTTGGTCGGTCCTCGCGATAAATACTGAGTGGTCGCCAGCTAGATGTTAGCAGTCCAGTAAATGAACATGGGAATGGTGTACATTCTTTTCGTTGTATATTGCCAGCAACCATATTCTCTCTTTTTGAGCTTTTTGTAACTTTGATAACGAAAGGTTGTACATTTTTCAGAAACACAGCAGAATAGGTTATGCGATTAATAGACATAATGATATATTAAAACAAACAAAAATAGATAACTTGTTGAAATATCTAGATTGCAGGAACAGGTAGCCCAGATGCTCAAGCAGGCCGCCGATATTCAGTGAATATGTATTTCATGGGGCATCTAAATTAAACCGACAAGCCGATTAATAATAAAGGGTCTTAGAGATTATGACATTTTAATAGATGATTACAAAAGGTGAGGTATTTTGAATTTAGAAATTGAAAATTTGATGGATTGTTTAAAAATATTGTGACTCACATTCTGATGGTAAGTACTTTCGTTTAGTTACAAATTTAGGTTGCGATGATGGTTTTCTTTGTGAGATTTCTGCTGTTCTAGATATTGTAGATGTCACTTCGAAGCCATTTAAACTACTTTTTGTTGTAGAATAAGTAATAGAATTTGTTGGAGCTACTGTTATAGTACTGGTAGCTACAAATGAAGTTCCAGTAATGTTAAAAATAGTTTCATTAATTTCTTTTGTCCTGTTTGAAACAATGACATTAGTAACATTATTGGACATGGATGAATTTGTATTCAAATATTTCATATCTTTGCAAATACCACAACTTTTCTTACATCTTCGAGCATGCACTTTTGATAGGTTGCAGTAACCACGTTGAACAAGATCATTACATACACTTGGTGAATCAATATCTTCACAGTTTGTTTCACAAGATCCGCAAGTTTTAGGACACATTTCCAACATAATAATTTTATTCGTTTTACATTCTAAAGTATTTTTATAATATGAACATAATGATGACTGATCTTCACATTCGAGTGACAATAATGAGTTATTATAATCATTTTTATTACTATTATCATTACTACTGATAATATTGGTTGTTGTAGTATGGGGAACTTCAGTAGTTTGACGTCGATAATTATCACCACATTTATTACATGAACCAAGACACTGTTTCAATGTAGTCCCAAAACATTTTCCCTAAAACAATAAAATTTTTATCGAAGTCAACTTATGAAAACTTAATCTATATTGAGAATTTATTTGATAATTTATCCTACCTACCTGAAGGTCAATAGAAATCACATATGTCAATGAAAAATTTGAGGATTTCCTTATCTTAATAAACATAACTTTTGATGGAGTTTTGTTCTGAGCTAGTTGGTTTGGTCGTGGAGTTTTCATCGTTCTTCTGAACGACATCATCAGCACAACCTTCAGGTAGACTTCTGATGATATCGTTCAGGAGAACGATGAAAGCTCCATGAGAAACCATCCAGCTCAGAGGACAAAACTCCACCTAAATCATCCACCTGAACTACAAATCTTCTCCACCATCTCAAAAACATAACTTTAGAAATATATTGTAAAACAAACAATTTTCTCCAGTTTTATTTCATGAATTAGGTAGAAAAAAACAGCCGATTATGGTTAAATGATTTTAGGGGATACGTATAACAATAAAGTGATTTATACCGGAACGCTTTTGTCAGTATTTAAAGATGATGTTTTTGTTCTAAAATGAATACAAATATAATTTCATCTGTAATTAGTGAGCACTGGACAAGATCAACCAGGAATTTGTGTCTACCATTCTATCAGGGACCAAATCTAGTTGTCATAGATAAACGATTGCATATGTATCATTGGGGGATTTACTTATTTATTATTTATCTGAACACATAAATATTGGTTCAAGGGGGCACCAAATATATATGCGCCACACAAAACGATGAGAATGGGAAGAGAAAAGAAGGTAGGGAGCGTATAAGAAAAAAAGAAGAACAATAACCACCACAGATTAGTGTAAGGTAGTGTAATAATAATAATAATGGGGGAAACAGAAAGGTACGACCAGAAGAATTCTTTCAGTTAAGGAAGATATAACCACTTTTTATGAAGAAAGTTAAAGGTTACAGAAAGGTCGCCCCTGGCTTCTATTCTGAGCGATATCTGATAACGACTCTAGCCATTGTGTTGCACCATCTCTCGGACCCCAACCAGGGAGTTGAGAAGGATCAACAGAAGCCGGCCCTTTGTAGCTTTCTTTCATACCACGACAGCACGTCATACACTGAACACCTCTCCAATTTTTTCAACTAGTCCCAGCGTCGGCAAATAATGCACGACGTGAAATTCTCTGAGACGACATTCATAGAACATGCCCAAGCTACTGAAGTCGATGTTTCAAGATTATGACACCACTTGCATTATCGTCTCTGCGCCCGAACACACGATGCCGAACCTCTGCATTATCAACATGGTGTTGCCACTGGATGTCAGCAATCCTTCGAAGACAGTGATGATCAAACACAGAGAGTCGTCTAACATACTCAAGGTCGAGAAGTCTTCCCCCAGACAACAGATCCACACCGCCATTACTTACATTCATCAGAGCTATTTCCAGAATGTCATCGATGGCAAAGTTGAAGAGGAATGGTGAGATTGGGCAACCCTGCCTAACCCCACTACTCGAATGGAACAATGGAGAGAGGTGGTTGTATGCCCTCACTCTGCCTGAGGTGTTTTTATATAGGGCTTTTAGGATGTTAATAAACTTCTCAGGCACACCCTTCTTCAATAGACAACCCAACAAATCGAAGACAACTCTGATGTCGAGAAGCACTAGGATTGTTGGCATGTGATAAGCATGGCGGTGTTCCAACATTTGGCGGAGGGTGAAGATATGATCAATACATCCTCGACCAGAACGAAACCCAGCCTGCTCCTCGCGAGTCAATCTTTCTCGGGTTTTGAACAACCTACGAAGTATGATGGAAGCCAATAGCTTGGACGCAATCGGAAGTAGACTTATCCCTCGATAGTTGTTACAGGAACGACGTGAACCCTTTTTAAAGATAGGGACAACTATCGACTCATTCCATGACGTTGGTACACTCTCTAGTTCCCAAACCTTTGTAAACAACGTTGTCAGTTCCTTAGTCAGAAAGTCACCACCATCTTTAAAAAGAGCCGGAGGTAAGTCATCTGGGCCAGGTGATTTGTAACGCTTCAAGAGTTGAAGTTCCTTGCGGACTTTCGCCTCATTTGGTGGATCAGTCGTCACCGGCCATGGAGGGCAGGACAGTCTGACCGATGTTGCCGGAGCAGCAGGCCAGTTGAACTGCCCTTCGAAAAATTCTGCCCACCGTCCAAGACGTCGATGGATGTTAGTGATTGGCATCCCATCATCCTCGCAGATTGTTTCACTCACACCAGACTTCTTGCTGCCAGTGGCTCGGATGAGTTGGAAGAGATTCCGGTAGTTACCAGATGCAGCTACTGCTTCCAGCTCACTAGCACGCTTCGGCCACCAGGCTTCTCGGTCCTTATGCAACTTTTGCCCAACTTGATTAGGTAAAAGCCTTCGCTTGTGGTCAAACTCACGGTCACCCGGAGTAGACCGACGGGCTTCAATGAGTTGTAAGGAGCCTTAAGAAACCCAATGCTTATAAGCGGGACGTTTCGCGAACCCACAACTGAATTTATTTACCATTTTCATGGCGTCATGCAATTGCAACCAATGCTCATCTATACTTTTCGGTGGAGTGGTAGCTAGCCTAGAAACTAGCTCGGTTCGATACTTACTTGCAACAGAAGTTGCAACCAGCTTGCTAATATCAATCCGTTGATGGCGGTCACTTCGTTGTCCACTGAAAAGTAAGGCAAGATTGGCGCAGTCCAAGGCATGATCAGAGTCTAGATAGGTACTCAGTCTTGTACACAACCACGCCAGCGGTAGCTGATCGCGATGTGATCAATCTGAGTCCAGGCTTTAGATGCAGAGGGAGGACGCCAGGTGGCACATCGGCGATGACTGTGCCGAAAGTTAGTGCTAGCCAGAAACAGGTTGTGGTCTGTGCACAGTTGCAGTAGACGGTCCCCGTTATTTGACCTGCGACCAACGAGTCCCCATCGGCCACCTAAACGACTCTCTTCTGTGCATAGACGCCCGACCTGAGCATTCAAGTCTCCGGCTAGTACTACAATATCTGTCGAACACACTTTCTGGAGAAGAACAGATAACTGGTGGTAGAATTCATCATTGATTGCATCCGGGCTGCAATCTGTCGGGGCATAGGCGGAGATGACGAAAAGACATCGTTTCTCACGCCGATTTCTTCTCACTTTGATGGAACTTTCTAATCTAACAGCACATAACCGACTGTTAATGGGGATCCAATCGATTAGTGCTGTCTCAGCTCTAGCGCCTAGTGCGACACCAACGCCAGCAAGACCAGACGAAGATACCGCAGGATCCCCGTATAAACGCACGTAAAACAAGCTTTTTGAAGCGACAATTAGAGATCAAATTTTCAATACTTCACCAGAGTCTTGAATACGGGTCTCGGATAGACAGCAGACATCGATATTAAGACTTTCCAAACACATAGCCAGCTTTATCTGTTGTCCGACCTGCATAAGTGTGCGAACGTTGAAAGCAGCCAGTTTGAATGGTGCACGTAGTTTCAGAAAAACTGCCTCAGTATTCGTATTTGGTGGTAGCATTCGGTTTTCAACCAGTCAATGACTCGAGAACGTTTAGATACAGTCGAATTTTCACCATAGGCGAGCTGTTGTATAGGTCGAAAAATAAGGATACATAAAGTGGGAATAAAAGGGAGTGAATAAATGACGTAGTAAGTAATGGTGATAATAATAATAATAATAATAATAATAATAATAATAATAATAATGTGAGTCGTTTGACTATAAATCGTAGCAAGAAAAGTATTTTCCGTAAGTATCATCATTTCATTCTGTTTTTGTGTGGGCTGTGATACTGCCCGGGTGCCCAGACCGAAGCAGGTAGTTTTCTTAGGGGGCCACATCGCTAGCCTTTGACCTAAAGGCAGTGGAGCATCATGAGGATATGCCGTCCCACGGTAGCCGGTGACCAACGATTGGTTCATAAGCCATTTTTCCCTCAGAATACTAGAGCCCATGTGCACCATTGAGAAATAGGAACAAAAACGGGGCGGATCTGCATGCATATAGAATACAATTCTCTTTGAACCTAGCACACAACAATAGTATCATGCACTGTCCTATCACCCTTGGCAGATCAGGCGATCCGAAAGTTACATTCCTAAATTTAGTCAAATCTCATGATAGTGCATCAAAGCATGTTTTTGATAGCTGGTAGCTGTTTTACTTGCGATATATTTGTACTCTATTAGTTAGATTGGCAATAAAAATGAAAGAACCTGTATCTATTTCAGCCACTAGTCAGAACTTGATTATTGATTTTTTCTAATGGTTACTAAGCGTTTGTCAATTTCAGAGTCGGTTTTTATGAACAAGAAACACAAGCTGGGAAACCATTGAAGATCATGGAACATTAAACAAGCTTCCTACCTACATATGAGGATCTTTACAAGCACATCAGTCATACCTTAAAAAACTAGGTGATATGATTATTGGACATTGTTTTATCGTAAATCAAAGACAGCCAATGTTTTGGTTGCTTAATAAACTAAATATAAAGTACGGAGTAAGAAGAGTTTGACATTATTAGTTGTGATTTAACTCTGATTAGTATATTCAAATAAATTGAGCACTAAATAGATTGCTATTAGTAAGTAATATATCTGTAATATCCTAATGAGTAGAAATGGCTTACACTAAATCACGAGACGACAGAAAATTTGAAAACCTGACTTTTCTACTCATTGGGATATGACAAATATATTGTTCATTAATCTAGTTAGTATTGCTTGCTTGATTTAGAGTAATATATACGAAGAGTTTGTAAATATTTGTCTCTTGTTTACTGGATATAATTTACATGTTCCTTTTCCTGTATAGTACACATAGTTTTGTTATCCCATTAAAAACATTATGACTATGTTTATGTGATAGCCTAAACAGAGGCATTTGAAACAGCACGTAACAATCTTAATAAAGAATTCAACAAAAATACATCTAGATCCATTTGACCGACTACAAGAAGAACGAAATGAATGTTTTGATTTTCACTGTATTCGTCAATTGAATGTTGTATTCTGTCTTACATCATCATTATTACTACATAGTAACACTGTAGAATATATCTGTATTATATATTATAACGTTTATAAATATTTATGCTTGATCTGTGAACGTTCTTATTTGAAATATCACTAGAAAACATAAGCTTCACAGTAAGCTATCAATTGTACTTCGACTAAAATTCTATTTGAAATAAAAAGCCGAGTTTATTAACAATTATCAACCAATTTTGATCATAATAATTTAATTAATAAACCTAAAAATATTTAATATCAGATGCTCACTAGTGACTGGCTTCAAGAGGTATATCCTGGAGTTCTAGTGAGAAGTAGTCACCAGTGGAGTTCAACCAGGTCTGTTGTGAGATAGGAACTCACTGAAGACAATGGTGGATTTTTCGCTCAATTTCGTGGATTATTTGAAGTTAGACATTAACACCGTTGGATACCAGCTCAGTGGTCTAGTGGTTAAGTTTTCGCGATCGAAACCAGTAGGTCCTGGGTTCGAATCTCGCAGGGTGTGAGGTGGTGGATGCGCATCGCTGAGGAGTCCCACAATAGGACGAAACGGCCGTCCAGTGCTTCCAGGTTTTCCATGGTGGTCTAGCTTTAACTGACTCATGATCTTAACCATTGAAATTACTAAAAATATTTATTAGATAAGTTCTAAAGCCTTAATAATTTATGTGTTGTAAGTTAAGTATAGTAAGATGCAACTATCATGTAAAGATAACAAAATAATTAATCACGTTTCTCAGCTTATACCATTATGATTAATTTGATCATAGACTATTGTTAGACTGAAATAAAAAGTTCACTCATCTTCAACCATCTTTACAACTATAAAGGTTCATATAATGAACAATGTTAGAGAACATATAAAACATATGTACTTTCTTTATTGATAAAACATATTATTTTTATAATCTGGTGCATTTTTAAAGAATACATTTAAACCTGATATAAAAGAGCCCGAAAAGGAAAGGAAATTTACTTCTTTAGCTAGGGCGTCACAACGTTGATCATCAATATAATTACGACAGGGTGTCGATAGTCGTATTGTATGAGAAGACTGAGTATAGCTAACATTTGGATGCTGATTTTCTATTTCTGGACATAAACCACAAGACTGAGTACACTGACTAGACATGAAACCAGGATTCGTACGACAATCACCACGTTCAGCAAATACTTCACACCGTAAATCATCATACCTATTGAAACAATCGCCTTTGCGATAAGCTTCTAAATATGCTCTCACATCACTTGTTTCAACTTGTCGCTTGACGACGTCAGGTGATGGACATAGGTTACAGGAATACTGACAATTTAACTTGGTCCAACCATCAAAGTGACAATATCCTTCTTTAACGTAGTTTTCGCACATATCAATCTCCACATCTTGACATACTAAAAGCGAAAGGATTTGTATAAATTACTTAGATTATATTAGTAATTTAAAGCACTGGGACCACCTGAAATGAGTTTAATTAATTTTAATTATTAAAATACAATCCTGTTATATTAAAGAGATTCTAGATGTTCTAAATTAACAGGTTTGTGTCTTATGTAGATTGTGATGGGTTGTTGGCCCAAATATAATGAATTCTAACTTTCTCCTTGGTTTGCTTATTCGTAAAGAGAATTTCCATAATTGTGTTGTTCTCAATTTACTGAAGTTTTTAAAGGATGGAAGTTGTATCAAATATCTAATTATTCTTGAATTATCTAGTGATTTTGTCAAAATCTAGTATAATGAGTTCCAGTATCCCAGTTTTTCTTCTGTTAGTTGACATGTACACTATCTGCAATTTCGACAGGTATGATAAACTCTGCAAACGTATTTTGATAAAAACCAGTTGTTTACTATTAACTCATTCTGAAAAGGCTTTTTGAAGTTATAGTAAGAAACCGTAATCGTTAGAGTTCAACGATATTAAAAGTGATACAGTTACTAATACTAGTAATGGTGTCAAATTTGTTGAAGGTGGAAACAAAATCAAGTCAGTACTTCACAAATGATGCATTCATACTGAGGCCTAAATGTTATTCATTTGATTATCCAGAGATCACTGCTGAGGAGATTTGAATCAAGATAAAACATCAGTCTAGTTCTCTCTAGTTTTCAACTGACGTTTAACTAAAGACAGCACATAATGTAAATTATCATAAGTTTACTGATAAATTTTTTAAATCACCTATCTTCCTATGTATCTTTTTAAGATAATTGCCTATAGGTAAAAACTAAAGAGTGGTGATATAACAATTTACTACTATACCGAACTTCATTTAAAGATAATATCAAACTTTAGATCGTGAAAACGTCATAGTAAGCAAGTATGCGTCCAAGTAAATCAATGATTTTAGCATTCAAATTGTTCCACTTAATAGGCGAAATTCTCTTGATGAAATACACGCTATGTAGAGGTTGAATACTGCCTTCAATGAAAATAAAGTTAACCACGTAAGAAGACACAGTAAATCAAGACAATTATTTTGGAATGATAAAAAGCCCATAAGCAAGATATCGAATCATTGTGAACGACTGTTAAATATCAAGAGATCAAGTACTCTTCACAAATCCTAACTGCATAGACTAGAGAATTTTATTCTAGTCAAGCTTGTAGAACATTTAACATAGCTCAGAGAAAAGGTATGATATTGGTTACCTCATAGTCAAGAAAGCATTAGACTGATACATTAAGTTGATTGAAAATATCTAACATAATTATATTTGCATTTGTAATTCAAATGAATTATGTTATTATAAACAGCTATTTCGTTTTACTCTGATTCTCATCCAGATCGATTTGAATGCAATGCTAACAATTGCTGATAAAACAATTAATTGAAGCTTAAATAATGAAATATGATCCTTGTTACTTCATTAGATGTTTAAACCTTCTATTCAGAATCTTTATCAATCAACTTATGTTATTAAATCAACAGATTTGCTTACGGGATATGAAAAATCTGAGCCACTATATATTTCTAGTATGTGTTTCCCAAGTAAGATTTCATTTACCTATTATCTGGCAACATTTTACTAACTGTCTAAGTGAAAACCTTAATAATTTTCCAAAACTGAATTCATACATTAAAATTTAAACTTACACTTTTTTGGTGGCTTTGATATTCCTAATGAACCAGCCCGAAAACATCTACCACATGTACGTCTGCAAAAAGGTATGGCGTATTTTGCTTCATCGTAACATTTATTTTTAGAAACTGCATCACTGCAATATTTAGTTTCATTGACATCATCTTTACATCGATCAAAAGCATATTCTATGGAAATAAGTTAGTAATGATTAACAAAGTATACAATGCGAAACTTAGTAAATATTCATTTCGGGGATTAATAAGATAAACTGATCACAACGCCTTACTATTGATTCTTGAGCATATGGTTACATTTCTTGGAATATTAGTTCAGAAAATGTTATTTATTTCCTAATTTTGGATACCTCGCTTCCATAGCGTATACTTTACTTTGCCATGATGAAAATTAGTAATCGGAAACAATTTTACTGATTATAAATTCACTATTCTTTTTATCGATCTACTAATCTATGTTATTTTTACAATTGATTGGTCACTGGGTGGTAATCAATGTCATGTATGTCAGGTCCTTCTTAGTGCAGATCAAATCCTATCGACTAAGTTGTAATGTGGCCACTCGTCTAGGTGACTCAGCATTGCGTGTACTATGTTGAAATGAGATGGTGGTTGGAGGTAGTCAACAGGAAACTCTAGGCATAGGTTTCGTGCTACCTGGCACTCGTCAGCAAGGTGTACCTGTAATCTCAAGGGAACTGGTTCTCTCTAACGGATTCCATCCTGTGTCACCCAGCTTTACAGTCAGAGATGCTACCACTGAGCTATCCGGGCAGCAACTGACCTCCTATAAGACTGAGATGTATTTACAATTGACCGACCACTGGGTGATGATCAATGTCATATATGTCAGGTCTTTCTTTCATTTAGTTAGTTCTTTTAGATGAATGGATGTTTTACAATATTGAAATGCTTCATATTCAATTATAATATTTGCTATCGATTTTTGTATGGGTCTAAATCTTCTGATTTTGCGTTTATGTTTTTTACAATTTCCGTCTCAGTTTTATTAATTAGGATTTATCAGACATTTGCTTTCAATTATATTCATAATCGTAAATTTAATCTGTTTATAGTTACTTGATTCTTACTGTTTACAACACTATCAATGCATAATTATGCGTTTAGAAATCAACAAAAACACCTTTTTAAAAATATTCATCCATATTTAACTGAAAAATCATCATATTTTGTGCTTACTTGATGCATTTGTACAAATACAATGTTTGTTTCGAAATTCCCCTGGTTCACATGGTGTGCTTTGATTAGAACAAGTTCCTGTTCAATAATGTCAAACGAATTACAATCAGTGAAAGTTAAGACTAGTATAAAATTTTCAGTTTTGCAATAATCGGATATTATATCAATTTCTTTGTGAAATTAACTACATATGTGGTGTGTGCTGCTTATATTGACATAAGTAGTATATGATGTTAGCTGTGAACAGAAGGTCTGACAGCAGAGAGAAAAGAGGATCGAACAGTAAAGAATGGGAACAGAATTCAATTTGTATGAAAATGCAAGAACAATGGAATCTAAGTCATTTTGAGACAAGTGGTGGACATTTTGCAATTTAAACATTTACTTTATGATTACCAGTATGGGGGTTGTGGAGATTATTACGTTTTTGATTGAGATCATGAACCGATTGATGTTAGACCACCACCTTTGGAAACCTGGAAGCACTGGACGGCCGTTTCGTCCTGTTATGGGACTCCTTAGCAGTGCGCATCCACGATCCCGCTCGCGGGATTCGAACCCAGGGCCTTCGGTCTCGCGCGCGAACGCTTAACCAACTGGACCACTGAGCCGGCATCCAATGGTGATAGTGTCTAACATCAACCAATCCACGAAATTGAGCGACCAACTTCCATTGTACTGAGGTAGATACCTATCTCTACCCGACATGGATTAGCTCCACTGATCACGGCTTCTCACTAGGACTCCGAGAATTCCCTCACGAAACTAGTCACTAGTGAGCACATGTTGATTACTAGTATGGGGGTTGTAGAGATTATTACGTTTTTGATTGAGATCATGATGCGCACTGCTGAGGAGTCCCACAATAGGACGAAACGGCCTTCCAGTGCTTCCAGGTTTCCAAAGTTGGTGGTCTAACATCAATCGGTTCATGATCTCAATACTTTATGATTGTTAGATTTTACTAACAAGTCCTGTAATTTTGTGTTTAATACATTCGATTGTCCCCACTGGTGTCCGTGTTTACTACACATACATCAGTGATTAATATTACTTAAATTGAAAGAATTAGATATAAAACGATCAGTTTGCATATTTCAGAACTTGAACAGTTATCTGACTGAAGGTGTATGTTTTGTTTGAAAATCTATAAACCTTCTACCAAGACTTTTGGTTGATATGTTTCATTTCCGAATAGCAAAAATCAATGATACAAATTACTGAATTTTTATGTTTAACTTTGGAAAGGGATTGTTTGGATTGTTGTGCGAATCTATTTCTAGGATTTTGGAAAAACTTATTCTGTGCTCATATTGTTTACTTTCATTTTGTTTAGAAACGTTGCTTTGATTTATACACATGCTAAATAAACTAAAAAATACAACTGGTATATGTGTGTACTATCCACTTCAAGCGCTTCTTCCTAATTTCTTCCTTCACTGGGATCCGGTTTGTTCTTTCCCACAGTTGATTGTTGCTAATAATGTCCGGCCAACGGATCCGAAATATTTTTGCGTAGACAACTGTTAATAAGCACATGTATCTTCTGGATGATCGTTGTAGTAGTGCTCCAGGTTTCTGCCCCATACAGTAGAACTGTCTTGACATTTGTATTGGAAATCCTGACCTTGGTGTTTGTTGCCAATCGTTTTTAGTTCCAGATGTCCTTCAGTTGTAGACATGCTGCTCTTGCTTTGCCAATTCGCGCTTTCACATCTGCATCAGATCCACCCTGTTCATCAATAATGCTGTCCAAATATGTAAAGGTTTTTACATCTTCCAAATATTCTCCGTCAATTGAGACTGGATTGGTGCATGCTGTGTTGTATGGGAAATCTTGATTTTCCCTTTGTGTATATTGAGACCTATTGCTGCTGAGGCTGCCGCCACACTTGTCGTCTTCTCCTGCATTTGTTGTTTCGTTTGTGACAGAAGAGCCAGACCATCTGCGAAGTCTAGATCGTCCAGCTGCATCCTAGATGTCCATTGTATCCCGCGCTTCCCTTCAGACGTTGACGTCTTCATGATCCAGTCGATCACCAAGCGAAAGAGGAAGGGTGAGAGTAAGCAACCTTGCCTGACACCGGTCTTCACTTCGAACGACTTTGTCAACTGTCCTCCATGCACAATTTTGCAGTGTAATCCATCATATGAGTTCTGTATGATATTGACTATCTTCTGAGGCACGCCGTAGTGTCAAAGAAGTTTCCATAGTGTTGTTCTGTCCACGCTGTCAAATGCCTTTTCGTAGTCAATGAAGTTGATGTAGAGTGATGAATTCCATTCAATTGATTGTTCCACAATGATCCGTAGAGTTGCGATTTGGTCTGTACACGATCTATCCTTACGGAATCCTGCCTGTTGGTCACGAAGTTGGGCGTCTACGCAGTCCTTCATCCTGTTTAACAATACCCTGTTGAAAACTTTTCCCGGTATTGAGAGAAGAGTGATGCCCCTGTAGTTATCACACTTGCTGAGATCGCCTTTCTTCGGTATTTTCATTAGAAGTCGTTCTTTCCAATCTGTTGGTACTTGTTCCTCATCCCAAATCTTACTGAAGAGAATGTGGAGTATCCTTGCAGTTGCCGCTACGTCTGCTTTTAGTGCCTCTGCTGGGATGTTGTCCGGTCCTGCTGCTTTGCCACTCTTGATTTGTCTGATGGCCATGCTGATTTCTTCAATTGTTGGTGGGCCAACATTGATCGGGAGGTCCGTGGGTGCTGCTTCGATAGTGCGTGGGTTCAGTGGAGCTGGTCGACTCAAGAGTTCTTTGAAGTGTTCTACCCACCTGTTTTGTTGCTCTTCAATGTTGGTGATTACCTCGCCTTCCTTGCTTTTCACTGGTCGTTCTGGTTTGCGGCGATTTCCAGAGAGTTTCTTTGTCGTGTCATACAATTGTCTCATGTTTCCTTCCCTTGCAGCCTTTTCCGCCGACGTTGCTAAATCTTCCACATATTTACGTTTGTCAGTTCTGATGCTCCTCTTCACTTGCTTGTTTACTTCTGTGTAATCAGCTTGTGCCTTGACTTTTTGTGTTTTTGTTCGGCTGGTATTGATGGCTGCCTTCTTGTTCCTCCTTCTTTGAATCTTATCCAGTGTATCATCATTGATCCATTCCTTGTGATGGTGCTTCTTGTGGCCCAGAACCTCATGGCATGTTGAAGTGATTGCTTCTTTTATCCCCTTCCAGTCGCTCTCCATAGTAGTTCCCTCTCTATTGAGTAGATCATGAAACAACTGATATAGTTACATTATTATTATTATCAAACTCTGAAGCTGAATAAAAACCAAGCAACTCTAAGGTAAAAATAGAAGATAAATTAATCAAAACATTTCATATGTTCTTAGGTTTTTAGTGGCAGTCTTCTCGGCCTAGTGCATATTGGCGGACCTGTAGTAGTTATATGATATTGTATATGATGTAAAGTGCATTCTTTTTGGTAATCCACTTTTGTGATGCATTCATATTTCGACAAGATATCGGTGAAAAGTTTGCTCATAGGTTTTATTATTCGTACACCATGGATTTCATAGTTAGTAGTGTGTATACCGTTCATGTGTAGACGGGTGTTGTTGTCGACTAGTTGCTTCCTATACATGTTTGCTAACATATTGTAAGCGCTGAGGAAATCTGCACCGAGAATCGGTTGTTTGACTTGCGCTACAATGAAGATCCACATGAAACGCCGTCTAAGTCCGAGGTCTAAGGTCAGAGACTACTCTCCGTAGGTTTGATAATAGTTTCACTGGCCGCTTGGAGTGACACCTTGCTACATGTGGTGTGTTGCCGTCGTGAGAGCTCGAGTGAGATGATGCTTATTTCGGCTCTTGTATCGACTAAGAAGTCTGAACCAGAAATCTGGTCCCTGATATGGAGAAGATGGCCTGTCATGTGGCCAGAAACCGTTTCCGCCATCACTGTCTGGCATGCCCGTTTCCCTGAGTCTCATGATTGTTTGTTGAGAATGTTCACGGTTGTGTGTAGCGGCGTGCCTTTCACCATATTTTTGATGATACCAACCTATTCCGTTGGTCTGCTTAGGTGGCTTAGGGCACTGTCTGGAAAACGATCTTCTAGACGAGGATCTGGTTGGTCTAGAGTGGATCGTGGCAATCGTGGCCCGTGATGATGCCAGTTGTCTTGTCAGCTCTGTTAACTGCTGTTGGATGTTGGATTTGCTACCTATACCCTCTTTACTAGCAGTTAGTAATGAGTTAACACCGTGACTATCTGGGTACATTTCTATCATCTTGTCCGACATATCTGCTAAATCATCTAGATTAACCGAGTTTCCAGACACATTGAGAATTTGTCTCACGTTATGTGGTAGACGTTGAAACCACATTTGTTCTAGTCGGGTTTCGTCTAGCTTATATGGACCTGCTAGCTGTTTCATATGTCTTAACAGCTGTGATGGTCTCTTATCTCCCAACTCACATGACGTTAACAGCTGTTGTAATCTTTTTTCATCTGAGACTGACGTGCGCTGAATAACCGCAGTCTTTATTTTGTTGTAGGGATCGTTCTCAGGCACTTGGTCAATTAAGTTCCCCACCTTGACTGCAAGTTCTATGGGAAGTGCCCCGACTACATAAGCGTACTTTGTTTCTTGGTTTTATAACTGTACAGCTTGTGGATAGCAACTTTAGTTTTCGAGGTTTGTAGAAAATAAAGCGCCAAATGGATATTTTCTATCTCATGAAAAATTATTCTGTAAATAGATACACTTTAAAACAAAAATAAAAGTTATAATTAAAGGATTACGGTGATAGTTGAGTGTTGATTGAGATCATGAACCGATCAATGTTAGACCATCGTTGAAGAACTGGAAGCACTGGACGGTCGATTGGTCCTTGTGTAGAACTACTCAGCAGTGCGCAACCACGATCAGCCACATGGGACTGGAACCCAGGATTTTCTATGTCGCACCCGATCACTTTATCTGAACCGTCATCCAATGGTGGTCTAAAATTGATAGGTTCGTGATCTTTATTAAAACTCAATCTCCACAACGATGTGCTAATAACTATCGTGCGCTCACTAGTAACTAGCTTTGAGGGGTAATTCTCGGAGTTCCAGTGGGAAGCCATGTCTAACTTCAACCAATCCACGATATTGCACGACCATCTTCCATTGTCTCCGATGGTTAACTGCCTCACATATAACACAGTTGAACTCTACTGGACATTAACACCATTGAGTGCTGGCTCAGTGATCCAGAGATAAACCGTTCATGCGCGACATAGAAGGTTTCGGGTTGTGATCCCGCGTGAATGATCGTGGTTGCGCACTGCTGAGTAGTTCTAAACAAGGACTAATCGACCGTCTACAGCTTTCAGGTTTACAATGATGGTCTTACATTGACCGGTTCATAATCTCAATTAAAAATAACAATTAGGAAACGTGATACTTAAACAAACTATGTTTAAAATTTGAACGTACTATCACACTTATAGAGTCGATTTAAACCAACGGTATCTTCAAATGATAAATATTTTTCACTGATTGAAAACAATGGTTCATCTTCTAAATTATTAATTGGTTCCCATACTGGATAACCGTTTGATGTAAAAGTCTGGAATGAAATAAAAGATGTTAACTGTTTTAAATGTTTTTGAACAACGACATTAATTTTATTGAAAAGTGATCAAGGAATTTTTCGCAACTTGTGATCTTGTTCACTATTATCTGTTAGCTTTTAATCTGAAGCTGATCTTGATTTCTTATTGATATTTTGATAAAAAAAACCTGATTCCAAAATTTTCAATGTAGCGCTATAGTCAAAATTCAATTGTCAATTATCATAAGTCATTTAAAAGATCTTGTCAAACTGATGTAATTATCAAGGTTCATATACAAAGTAATATAAATTACATGATGGAAAAATTGACTGAATCTTCTAACATGTATTTGTATACTTATATATTCTTGATTCAGAAAATCATTGTTATTCAAAGCTGATAAAATACAAGGTAATTAAATGTTTTTCTTATATACTGAAGGTCGAAACGTTATTCTACTCTTCGGAAGTTTTAGGGACTTCATAAGTTATAGTTACATTATTAGTGCCTCAGCATCACTGTAGAATAGTTTATTTGCTTTTTTTTTAAAAAGTATTATTCATGTTTTTCAATGTTTCTTGGCTCCATTATGTGTCACTTTAGTCCGATGTTTACTGATTGATTATCTAAGCTACGGATCAAAAGTCGTTAAATGTATTCGTTGCTGTTTGCTAAGAGTATAAATGACCACATGAAATAGATTGACTCAATCTACATATTATACATGATTCAGTATACGGCTTAACAAAATATCTATATACTAAAAACTAAATGGAGATACTCATAGTCATGCATATACAAAGTTTTGGTAAATCATTGAGAAATAACATTAAAAGGATAAAAATAAAATTTAATTTCACTTACAAAAGGATCATATAAACTTATTGATTGAAAATCAAATTTACGATCTGTCAAGATAGACTGATGCTCTTTAATTTTTTTAAATTCTTCCAAATATGATTTGTCAATGTTTTCTTCATGTAGAATAACGTATTGATCACGATCTGGTCGCATAATTTCATGCATTACACCTAATGCATGAAGTAATTCATGAAGAATTTGACCAACCTACATTGAATAAAAGAGTACTTATTGTTATTAATTTCAATATATAATACTATTGGAAAAGTTCCAGATCTTTCTCAAAAATAGATCCTATCAAATATTTCGAAACAATTCACGTGAACAGATGGAAAGTCTCTAAATGAAGGTAATCTTTGAAGTTTTCCAAGATAAAATTTCTAGCAATAATTTATGCTGTCATCAGTAAATTAGATTGATTGCACATAGATATAACAAGAGTTTTATGGTCTTCTGAAAGTTTATGGTCCTAATCTGTATTATACTATGTATTTCGTAATATTAATAATCTGTAAAAAAACTCATCTGAATACTTGACTTCATTATATTAATTTGTCAGCAAGCAGGTGAGTTGCTGACTTCATTATGACGACGGAAGCATATATTTCAAGTTCGATAAATAATCAAATTAATGGATCCTCCACATGTTGCCAGGATGACGATTTTATTGAAAATGTCTTTATTAAATTCATTAAACTTGAAGATGATAACGACCAAATAAACTTCTCGAAATTGAGATAATAACGTCTAAATGGCCAATAACCCAGTTATCAAACTACACAACGTACTACTGGTTATCTGCAAAACAGACTTACTGTTCCTTCATTGGTAACTAATATCATAAAGTTTATCCCGTATTGCTGGGCACTACATTTTGATTAGAAATGTAGAACTGGGTTTATGTATATTAAAGAAACAACAGTTCCTTTATTATTTCACGTGATTTCTGTCGGTAAGTGTTATGCAATACAAAATATAAGTTCCAATAAATAACCTTTTCCATTTCATAACAATTATGTTATTAGTCAATGTATTTATCGAAATCACTTTAATGTGGTTAACTAATTTTCTGCTAAAATGATTGTGGTTCTTATAGTCTAATCTGGTAGGAGAACGAAATTATTAATAACCTAAAAGCATTTATTGTTGTTGATCTACAATACTATTTCACCTTGCTACATTATTCTCATGCCAGATCGATGATCTTATTTATATTTCCTTGGAGTTATTTTAGAGAAAAGAATTATTCTAAATTGTTTGTTTTCTGAGATTATGTACCATACTGATGACTTAGAAACAAGTTAGGATACTTAACGATTGTAGCATCATTCTACTTTACTGGTATAGTTTAAGCTACTCATAACTTACAGTAGTATATCTCATTTTTTGTTTCTTTAATTTTCTATCAGTATAGGGTTGTGGAAATTATTAAGTTTTTGACTGAGATCATAAACCGATTGATTTAAGGCCGCCATCGGAAACCTGGAAGCACTGAACGGCCGTTTCGTCCTATTGTGGAACTCCTCAACAGTGCGCATCCACGATCCCTCTAACGAGCGGGATTGGTTAGACATCAACACAGTTGGATCCCGGCTCGGTGGTCGAAAGGTCAAGCGTTCACCAGCGAGTCTAAAGGCCCTGGGTTCAAATTCCGCGAGTAAGATGGTGGATGCGCACTGCTGAGGAGTCCCACAGTAGGAAGAAACAGCCGTCCAGTGCTTTTAGGTTTTCAATGGTGGTCTAACATTAATCGGTTTATTATCTCTAATTTCTGTCCCAGTAACCATTCTCCACAGAATAACAATAGTGAAGTGATTTGAATTTAAAGTGTAAATTAGTTAAAGTGTTTTTCGCTTGACGCCTAAATTAACATGTGATTTCGAATATAAACCTACCATACTACTAATATTCATCAAAATCCATCATTTCATGTAAACAAAACATTTACTAATGATACTAGCATTTCTATCTAAAGAAATCATAAGTCATTTTGTATTCTTTCCTTTCTTTTAAATTATCTTTATATCCATTCAATTATAAGAACAAGATCTTATATTTAGTTCATCTAATTAAAGTTTGACATTTACATAAAGAGTAAGTACAAATTAATGATAAAATTATGTAATTTCCTTCGACCTTTTACATGTTTAACTGTAAATGACATCAGTAATACTTTATAAACAATCAAGCGTATAATCTTATTTTCATAAAGAATGTTTATTTGAAGTATACATAGCCAGTTTTGATTAAAGGAAGCTTCAGGATTTAGAGTGAACGCAATTAATCGCATAGTTACAATATAAATTCAATTAAAAAAAAAGTGATGTGAATAGAGAGAAAGTTGTTAACAAAAGTAAGGAATACATCGAAAGTGAGAAGAATAGTAGTTTGTAAATCTTATTATTCCATATATTTTGTAAAAAAATCTTTATTCAGTTATTTTGCAGGAAACTAATATCATCATCATCATCATCACAAGTATCATTAATTAGGAGATACTAAGCTGATATCATGCTCTCTTATCTAACTCATCAATGTACAACTACGCTAAATTGAATCAAAGAACTTTATAGGTATCGTTACCAACGTTTGACTTGATAGTTTCGAAAAAATTGAGCATTTGGTAGACTGTTATGAATAAATAATATATTTATAATATCACAATGAGTAGAAAAATTGAATTTTCTGACGTTTCGTAACTTAATGTAAGTCACTTCTTCAGAGAATTAATATTCTCACATTGAATCATTAAGTTTGAATACATTGTTTTATATTCTGAAATTCATTAGGTTTACATAATAGTTTTACTATCATCCTGTCGGATAGCTGTCTATGTGTCGTAATTATATAATTTGAAGATCACAGCTTTTCATTACAGAGAAATCCTTTGCATAACTAAGCTATAACATAAAACGTTTGTTTAATTCAGTCGTTTCTTGGAAATTTTTAGTATAGATAAGTTAGAGAATCATAGAAATCATAGAGCAGCTACTCAAGTCCACGGAATCGAACTTTGATGGAAGTATCTTTGTAGTGAACGAGAACACAAGTGGGGGCAATCTAATGTATTTCAATTGAAAATTACTCTTAGTAAAACCTGAGAATCACATAGTAAATATTTAATTTGAAATATATCAATCAATTGTCTTAAAATTGATTGTTCCTTTTACAAATATCAGTCAATCGTCTCAGACTTCATTGTTCTTTTGTTTCCATACCAATCATTCTTTGTTCTCATTCTCTTTCCTCTAATCTTCTTAACCTTCTACCTTCTAGGCATTTCACTTTCGACTAATGATACATACTACTGATATCTATCAATATCAATAGCACACACTACATGTTTAATAATTGAGTTTTATGATAAAATATACAGTTAGATTTACTCTTCTGAACTTTTTTTATAATTAAAGAATACGTACGACACAGTTAATTGAGTAATAAAGTTGAATGTCAATTATCATAATCTTATGTATACTTTAGTAGTGATTCATATTATATAATCCATAAGATACTTCATAAACACTATATACTTTCTTCATTGAAAGTCAAAATTATCTTAATGTTTATACACTTAGTTTAGTTAAAACAGAAAATTTTCTTGCATACAGTGAATTATGTATTTGAAAATATGGATAAATAGGGTATGTCCTATCCACTTATAAGTTAAACAAAAACAAACAAATTTTGCCGCCATTTTTCATTTTAATGAATTAAAAGTTGTATAATACCAAATGTATCTATTAGTTATGTCATAAAGCGAAAGATGATAGATTTAATTTATAACTAAAGAAAAAAATTCTTCACTCATCAAAGAGTCAACATTCACTGCGGGTGGTTTAATATTACTACTACCACTATTAGTACTACTAATACTAATACTACTACTACTGTAGTGAACACGAATACTAGTGGAGACAATCGAATGTATTTGATACAAAATTACAGGACTTTTTAGTAAAATCTAACAATCATAAAGTAAATGTTTAAATTGCAAAATGTCCACCAATTGTCTCAAAATGACTTAGATTCCATTGTTCTTGCATTTTCATACAAATTGAATCCTGTTTCCATTCTTTACTGTTCGATCCTCTTTTCTCTCTGCTGTCAGACCTTCTGTTCACAGCCAACATCATATACTACTTATGTCAATATAAGTAACACACACCACAATACCACTATACTACTACTGATACTAATACTACTAATAATACCAATACTATTACTAATACTAATACTACGTGAATTTAAGAAGTTTAAATGAAATGAAAATTTTTTAAAAAAAATATTCTATTCTAGATATAAAACGTAAACACTTAGAATATTAAACTAAATATTGACATTTATTGTGGTGTTGAATCTGTTCAATATTCGACAATCTTCATAACCCTATGCTTATAATGATTCCTTTATATTTCAATATTTTCATCTGGTATACAATGAATTTGCAATTAGATTATTTGAAATAGTCCTAAATGACTAATATGTATGATCCAATAGTCTAACTGGAGTGAAAATATTCATTAAAATCCTTCGTTACTTGTGTAGTAGTCAGTTGACGATGCTATACGTACTGATTATAAATGATATTTCAATTTTCTGTGACGAATTATATTTCGATCCGATTTTATTTTTGTTCTTGTACAAATTTAACTGTACATTCGCATAACAATCGAAGGATAGATTTGTTGACTGTAGCTAATTTGAAACTTATTTAAGAGTTGAACATTATGCGTTAGTGAACTAAGAAATAATTTGTTAATAGAAACATACTGTTTAATATTATGCGACAGTTGACAATCCTATCAGTATATGTACTCGTGAATAATCTTTAAATTATAGAAAAACGATTACTAACGCAAAATCTACAAAACATTTCCTACTAAGCATCTTAATTATTATTATGTATAGTATCAAATCCCATGTAATATATGTGTGTATGTGTACGTGTACTTACAGTTCGGCAAGTTGGACCAAGTCGAAGAACTTGATTCCTATTTCTCATCATGCCTAATGATGAATAACATCCTCTGGAAATAAAAAAGTGAGAATAAAAACAGATCAGTGCAAAAGATCAACTGTCATCTTTTCAGTACTAAGTTTTGTTTTTAAAAAACCATTTGGCTAAAATAGTTTTAAATATTTTTACTTTGATAGCAGGATAAATCCTGTCAAGTTGGTAAGGATTCGAATTTTTAGGAAGTACATATAATAATAATAATAATGTTTCCCTTCGTTAATTCATTGTTTGTGACTAGCTTTCTACTGACTTTTCTCCTGATATATGATTAGATAAATAAAACATAAATTGTCATCGGAGATTTCAAACATTTGTCTTCTAATGACGCAAAATGGCTCCCCAGGTTTCAGGTTTCCGATTTCTAATTGACTGGATGATGCAAGAATGTGATGAAAAACATGAAAGATATTTTAATAAACGCTTCAGTCTATGGTAATGATAGGTGATCATACTGAATAATATGGGTTTACTAATGCCATAAATGCAAGAATCTCATAGCCTATTTTGCAAGCTTTACTTTTAGCGCAACTTTATTATGTATACAATTCATTGACGCTCTCATTAACTATCAAATTTGATTTAAAGCAAGCTACTTTATCTATACACAATGAACAAAATAATTAGGAATTTCTTTATTATGCTAGATAACATGTATATTTTATACTGGTTGATCACTGGACAATAATTCATGTTATGCTATTTAACTTTTGGTAGAGATCAAATTTTATTTATCATTCTACATCATGCCGAATAATCTAACTGAACTACCTTCAAATCAAGTACAATTAGTTTGGAGCCCTTTGATAGTAATCAGTAGGAAGCTGTAATCAATAGAATCTCATTGTGGCCAAGAAAAAGGTTCATACATAATTTAATAAGAATCAGTGATAAAAAAAGTTCGCAGATCTCAATCCTGGAAGGGATCAATGCTAATAATAGTAACATTTCTGACTATGACACCGGGTGATTGGCGAATAGTTTGAAAGCACCATTTTCTTTAAGAGTGTAAGTACACTCTGCTAAAGAGTAGAATGTAAAACAGCATTTTAAGCTGCAACATTAAATAGATTGCTTTTATTCAGAAAGCATGTACAGAACTTATAATATTATGGCGAACTGCCATCTACTTTTGCAACCTCAAATGGTGTCCGTCAAGGCTGTCCATTTTCTCCATTTTTGTTTAACTTCATCATAGACCTATTGATGGAAATAACATTCTCGTCTACTGAATTCTCGGGTATTGACCTCCTTCCAGGAGGTCCACTTATCGACTTAGAATACGCGGATAACATAGTCCTGTTTGATGAAGACGCTGGTAAAATGCAGAGTATTTTGGTAGCACTAAGCAACAATGCCAGAATGTTTGGAATGCGCTTCTCTCCCTCTAAATGCAAGTTGTTGCTTCAGGAGTGGTCTGCGTCAATACGTGAACCAAGGATAGGGAGTGAAGTAGTCGAACGCGTTGACAACTTCACTTATCTTGGAAGTCTGATCAGCCCTAATGGGTTGGTGTCTGACGAAATCTCAGCACGGATTCGAAAAGCTCGCTTGGCTTTTGCCAACTTACGTCACCTGTGGCGAAGGCGAGATATCCGTCTATCAATTAAGAGACGAGTATACTGCACGGCAGTCCGTTCTGTTTTAATCTACGGCAGCGAAACATGGCCATTAAGAGTAGAAAACACTCGTAAGCTACTGATGTTTGACCACAGATGTCTTAGAAATATTGCTCGCATCTACTGGAATCAACGGGTAAGTAATGGTAAGATTAGACGCAGGGTATTAGGGTACGATGGTAAATCAGTCGATGAGGTTGTGAATCTTCATCGACTGAGATGGTTGGGCCACGTGTTACGTATGCCCGAACACCGATTACCATGACGTTCAATGCTAACCGGTGTTCGGGATGGTTGGAAGAAAGTTAGGGGCGATCAAACCAAAACGTGGCATCAGTGCTTGAAGTCACTAACTTCTAGTCTGAGCCATGTTGGCAGGTGCAAACTACTTGGTTGGGGTCCGCGTGACTATCGTAACCAGTGGTTAGAGACTCCTGGTGACATGGCTCAGAACCCGTCACAATGGCGTCGGTGTATACACTCTCTATCTTCCTTTAAACTAAGAGATTAAAATCACTTCATATCTTTCTTTCTACTAACTAATTCTTTCTTGCTGTACTATATCCTTATATGCAGTCTTTGTCCTATATATTACCACCTTTGACCTAAGCACTCCTATGAATCCGGTGTTCATTTTGCTGTGCTAATGAGGTATGGCAACCTGGGCGGATGCATATATGTGCCTGGTCCTGCGTTGTAGCTGACTGACTGACATCTTTTAATCGATGATATTACCAACGTTTGTAAATTTTTAAAAAGTAAACTTTAAAGATTATCATAATCTTTAACATTTTACAGAAAATAGTGAAATAATTAAAATAATTGTTCTATTTGCTAAACATACATAAATATCAAGAAAAGCATAAACATATAACCATGATATTGTGAGAGCTCATGTTCATTTAAAAGTTTAAGCATTCATTTATTATCATCTTAGCTACAGACATTCATTCATGTACCAGTGAACTTTCATCGACTTATCATTGTTGTAATTCATTGTACAAAAGTGAAAACTTTTTTATTCCATCCATATTTTGATAACTATTGTGTTATTCATAAAACGTTTTCATTCATTTTAGATAATAGATGTGTCTTGAAAAACGTAAAATTTATCATTTATTGTTACGATTAAGTAAATAAAATTGTTCACATCTACCATTCTGTCGTAAACTTACCTACCTACTTACGCCTGTTACTTCCAATGTAGCATAGGCCGCCGATCAGCATTCTCCAACCCACTACGTCCTGGGCATTCCTTTCTAGTTAGATCCAACTGTTGTTCATTCTTCTCATGTCTATCTCCATTTCTCGGCGTAATGTGTTCTTTGTTCTTCCTCTCCTCCTTTGGCCTTCAGGATTCCATGTGAGGGCTTGACTTTGATGAAATTGGGTGGTTTCCTCAATGTGTGTCCTATCCACTTCAAGCGATTCTTCCTGGTTTCTTCCTCCACTGGAATCTAGTTTGTTTCTTACCACAGTAGGTTGTTGCTAATAGTGTCTGGACAACGGATCTGAAGTATTTTGCGTAGACAACTGTTAATAAACACATGTATCTTCTGGATGATCGTTCTAGTAGTGCACAACTTTCCGTCCCATACAGTAGAACTGTCTTGACATTTGTATTGGAAATCCTGACCTTGGTGTTTGTTGCCAATCGTTTTTAGTTCCAGATGTCCTTCAGTTGTAGACATGCTGCTCTTGCTTTGCCAATTCGCGCTTTCACATCTGCATCAGATCCACCCTGTTCATCAATAATGCTGTCCAAATATATAAAGGTTTTTACATCTTCCAAATATTCTCCGTCAATTGAGACTGGATTGGTGCATGCTGTGTTGTATGGGAAATCTTGATTTTCCCTTTGTGTATATTGAGACCTATTGCTGCTGAGGCTGCCGCCACACTTGTCGTCTTCTCCTGCATTTGTTGTTTCGTTTGTGACAGAAGAGCCAGACCATCTGCGAAGTCTAGATCGTCCAGCTGCATCCTATCTGTCCACTGTATTCCGTAAAGAATATGAATTAATTAAGAGATGCCTAAACAACAGTTATTTATGTTCAATCCCATATGGGTAACCATAAAAGAAAAATCCTTCATTAAATAATAAATGTCAATTTTTATTTCAGTCAACATGCATGAATTTCAGTGTATTCCTGCTCCTTTTTACAAGCCATTAATACATCTCTACTTGAGCATTACAATAATTACCATCAAAATAAATTATTGACATTCGACACATCATTAGTTGTATAGCAGTGAACATTTGCTCTTTACAGAAGATCGCATGTATCTTTTTTTATATTCAATTCAAGTTAATTGAACTAATGAATGACACATTAATTATCTCTAAATTCATCAAAAATAATGTTTTATGTTTATTTACCTAAATAGAATACAATTATTCATATTCTCAAATAAGTAAAGAATGTAATTCATTTACCTTTGACCTCGACCTTTAATTCGAATTAAATGTCTATCAGAAAATCTTCTTGTATTTATTCTAGAAGTTAGATCATAAAATTGAATACATGTTTCTTCTTCAATAATTGACATTGCTTTTTTAATTAATAAAACATCAAGTTCTAGAAATTGGAAGAAAAAAAACATATATATCAAAGAAATTTCTTTTAAGAATTCATGAAATGATCAATCTAAATTTTATTTAGATATTTACAATAATTGAGATCATTAGTCATTTGAAGCTAGACCACCATGAGAAACCTGGAAGCACTAGACAGCCGTTTTGTTCTATTGTGGGACTCCTCATTGTTGAGTCGGCTTCCTGAGAACTTCAACGGAGCCTCCAGAGGCCCAAAAGAAGCCGAAGGGTCCTAGCCAATCAGAGTATGATGGGACGTTCTAGAATTCCAACGTGGCGTGCTACTATTGGTCGGTAGCATAATATGTTGTTAACGGATTGGCTGAAATATGATGTTGATTTAACAGATGCCAACATCTATAAATACCTATGATTTTCTGTACAAAAATGAAACTTGGGATAAAGTATTTTCTCTCATACTTGTGTCTTCTCTCTGGTGTTCAAGTCGCTGTGTAGTTCTAGACTGCGGGTTACCAGAATAGCTTAGGAAACGAATATAGCGTTCGATCGACAAGACTTATCACTCATCAGTGCTCATCCACGACCCCGTCTCGCGGGATTCGAACCCAGGACCAATCAGTCTCACGCCAGACGCTTAACCATTAGACCATTGAGCCGGTATTCAACGGTGTTAATGTCTAAATTCAACGAATCTACGAAATTGAACGACACATCCACCATTGTCATCAGTGATTTCCTATCTCACAACTGATATTATTGTCAATAATAGTTACAAAACTTTGATTGCTTACTTCAATTTATGATGTAGGATCATTAATAAATTGATCCCAATATAATTACCAACAAGAAAATGAATTAGATGCTGAGTTCACAAAACTAATCAAAATCAGAACAATATTTTTGTCACTATGTCTGGTACAACAATGACTATCCTGATTTTAATCCCCGGTGTAACGGTGGGCCAATACTTCTGAAGAGTCTCATACTAAGACGAGACAGCACTCTAGTGCTTCCAAGTTTTTAATATTTGACAATTGTTGGTGTAAAACTATGAAAATTCAACAGTCTTAACAAATTCATTGTTTTCCTATAAGTTATTGTTTCTTTCATTTCTGTAATGATAACAACGTTCCTCATAATAACAAGCATTGGTAAGGTGAAAATGTTGACTTTGAAAATAAATTACAACACTTTCAAAAATCTCACTACCTAACTGATTTCTTTCATACATATAGTTCCCTTTATTATCTTAAAGAGAGCAAGAACAAAGATTGGTGCAGAATAATATGAATTTATTTTATTTCGCTAGGTTCTCATCAGCTGCTTACAACCTAAAATATTTGAAATTTAACATTATTACAGATATTGACATACTTGTACATAAGAGGGTGATTGAGGATGAATAAATGTATCATAGTGTAGCGAAGATTCCGATAGAGTTAATAAGGTTATTAGCATTAGCAATCAAACGTCTAAAAACAGACCTATGTATACAAAAAGAGACAGTAATAAATCTTTCTTTACCCAGGTAACAATACCCCCCTTTTTATTCATTTATTTCTACGTATTTTTTTATTTGTTTATTGATTTATTGCGTCATTATTCTAATTCTTTCTGAAGTTTAAATTACATCATACATAATTGACTGATTTCAATTCATATTCTCTTTATTACCATTAATCTATTTTCATGAGTTCTAATCACTATTTCAATGTTCCGGAACTTTCCCTCTCAAACTTTATTTATTCGAGACAAAAAAACTTTATGACCTCATTAACCCTATCGGAATCTTCGCTACACTATGATACATTTATTCATCCTTAATCACCCTCTTATGTACAAGTATGTCAATATCTGTAATAATGTTAAACTTCAAATATTTTAGGTTGTAAGCAGCTGATGAGAACCTAACGAAATAAAATGAATTCATGAGATGGTGGAGAAAATTTGTAGCTCAGGTGGATGATTTTGGTGGAGTTTTGTTCTCTGAGCTGGATGGTTTGTTCGTGGAGCTTTCATCGTTCTTCTGAACGACATCATCAGCACAAACTTCAGATAGAAGTGAAGTGTTCGAATTTCTCCATATGGGTTTCACAGAACAAGCTGTGAATTCATATTATTCTGCACCAATCTTTGTTCTTGCTCTCTTTAAGATAACTGATTTCTATTAGGATGTATTAAATTAACTGGTTACTTTATGAGTTAGGATATTATCATAAACAACTAGTAACCTTATGAATGAATGTCAAACAAATTAACTAACTCATAAACCAATTAAAAGCATTTAAGTGTTATTAAAATCTGGTATTATATGTCTTATCGTTAGGCATATTAATCCACAGTTAAAATGTTGCCATACGGCAGAAAATTACTTCAGTTGATAATATTAATAATTCAGTGGACTTGATCTCGAATAATTTGTTTAGTAAAATAGAAAAGACAATTTCACATACTATCAATGCACTAAAATACAATGGAAAATTACATGAACCAGAGCCGAGACTCTCTTATCGTTGATCACTGGGTGATGGATGGGCAATGTCATGTATGTCAGGTACTTCTTAGTGCAGAATGAATGCTATCGACCAAGTTGCAATATGGCCACTAGTCTAGGTGACTGAAAATTGCGTGCACTATGTTGAGATAAGATGGTGATTGGAGGTAGTCAACAGGAAGACCTGGACCCGGGTTGTGTGCTATTTTATATATCGTTGAATAATTGCCAATATACTATTTAAACTAATAATAAATAGAATTTTAATCAACAGCTCTTAACTAATCTGCTTATATATCCAAGAAATTGAAATATAAGACTTAACTGATAGCGATATGTTTTAATCTTAGGTTAATCTCTAAGTGATTCAATTAACTATCGAAATATAATACAGATGTGATTTTTTGTGTTCTTTTAGTTCACACAGCTGTTCAATTGCAGAAAAAACATTCTATCTGTTAAACGATTCAAAGTTCAGGCCTTAATCAGACAATTATCGATTGCAGTATACTGTTGAACACTTTTAGAATTGTTTTCAGGGATATGTATTTCGAATTAGAATGTAACTTATATTAATGTGTGAGGTCTCTAAAAATCTGATGGCAGCTGTTGGTTGTGTATATGTTTCATTTTATCATTACTATGCTGTAATTTGGTCTACTTACCCAAATGAAATTACTACAATAGACATAAACTTTTCATAGATCGTAAACCAGAAATTAATTATAGTCACGGCGCCATTGAAAGTCTGGAAGCGCTGGACAGCCGTTTCGTTCTAAATTCTCAGATACAAAGATCGTCGATGGGCATTTCTGAGGGGTCGCAAGCTACGACGAAATGGCTTTTAATGGTGGTCGAAGGGTAATTTGTCAATTAAAATCTATGAAGACTATAATTTCCACAAAATTGGATTCTGGAAATACAGAATTGTTCAAAGCTATGACTGAAGTAAAGAACTGCTGAATCTTATAATATTGAAAGAATAAAATCTGTTCGAAATTTTGTAACTGGCATATTCCATTAAAAATATTCTTATTTTAAAGAAGTCAAAGTGTTCAGCACTGCGGTTTTCAATGATATTTTTCACCGTACAGTAATACCATTTGATGATTTACTGAAAAGAACTAGGCAGCGAAAATTCGTACTATTTACGATTGTGCCTATTCAGCAGGAAAAATTCATAAAGTCATATGAAATAAACTTAAAACTTCCTGATTTCATGGTTATTACAGTACTAATTTTAAAGCGTTTTCAAATCTATGAGATAGCATGGTGATAGACAACTGCTTAACTTCAAATTTGACTACTAGTGAAATATTTGAAAACATAATCTCCATGTATTAGCGGTTTAGATCGTGAAATGTTTTTATGCCATGCATAAATATTATTGTATTAGTATTCTATTAATTATACTATTCAGTATGGAAAGAATTCAAGGTTGGTCTTCAAATTTTATGTTCAAATATTAGTTAATCAACCCACAGATAAATCTATGAAACAAATGCATACGTAATCTCGAATCTGTGTTTATTCGTCATAACTCTTCTAAATGAAGACGTTCTAACTCCCAGGGCAGAGTTTAAATGGTTTGAATGACTTTTTCTGGTTAGCATATTTTTTTAGCGATTTGATCTTTTACGGGATGGAGTTTGTAACTCCATGCCCAATCCTCCTCCTTTACCGGGCTTGGGACTGACAATAGCCATAAATGGGCTCTATGAGGAGTTTGTTCGTGTGTTTGTTTATACAATACGGCAAAAGATTTAGATAAAATTTCATCTCAATGAAAACTATATTGAAATTTATCTGAACATAAAAATTATTTATATTTTATTTAATCGCTGAAAAATTCCCATTATTTTAAAACACAATTATATGGACGAAAAATATTCTTTTCAATAATTTCTCATCAGGTTCTACAATTATCATATCCAAATTAATAATCCCTAAGTTTAAGGTAGAGTACATCATTTAAGATTGTGACATATGAATTAGGGATTGTTTTTCCTCAAAAATCAAATCAAATCGTGAATGCTGGAGCTGACTAATATGAAGTGTTAACTTGAATCAGTTTACGAATGAAATGAATTTGTGAGATTGGTTGAAGTTAGACATTAACACCGTTGGATGCCGGCTCAATGGTCTAATGGTTAAGTGCTCGCGCGCGAAGCCAGTAGGTCCTGGGTTCGAGCCCCGGGTGGTGCGGGGTCGTGGATGCGCACTGCTGAAGAGTCCCACAATAGGACGAAACGGCCGTCCAGTGCTTCCAGGTTTTCAATGGTGGTCTAGCTTCAACTGACTCATGAGTTCAATCTGTGAAGATTAATAATAATCAGAATAAATATGGCCAACATGAAGTGAGAGAGAATAATGTAATTACAAGTCAGAAATTACGTAATATGTAGAATAATATGAATCAGGTAAGATATAGTAGATAGGGATGAATGTTGAATAAATTTCTCAAAAAGGTTAGCAAGTGTAATAATAATACGATATGTTTGGGACATAGAAATGAACATAAATCAAATTACATCACTACATTATAAAATTGATTATTAATTATTTTTGATTGAGATCCTGAACCGATTGATGTTAGAGCATCATTGAAAACCTTGAGGTACTGGATGGCCGTTTCGTCCTATTGTGGGACTCTTCAGCAGTGCGCATCTACGATCCCGATCGCTGGTTTCAAACCCAGGGCCTTTAGTCTCGTGCGCGAACCCTTAATCCACTGAACCACTGAGACGGTATCCAATGCTTTTAGTGTCTAACATCAACCAATCTCACAATAGAACGAAACGACTGTCCAGTGCTCCCAGGTTTATAACGGTAATCTAACATTAATCGGTTCATGATCTCAATCAAAAACTTAATAATCTCCACAACCCCTATACTGATGATTATTAATTAGTTAATTAGTTATTTAATCAATAAAAGATAATTACATAATAATATTTTAATTAACTTACTAGAAAAATATTCTGTAAATTCATTAGTTTTTGATTTATCTATATCATCAATAATATAAGGTATAACACCATTTGGCCATAATATAATATTTTTCATACTTAATGAACGTTGATAACGTGTCAAATGTATTGCATTAATGAATGTTAATTGTTGACTATATAAATTAATAATAATAATTGGAATTAAAATATTTTTGTAAAACATTATCTAAATCTCTTTAATCGTTCACATAGATATTCCACTAGAATTCAACTTTACAATTTGTATTCATTTGTATTTATACATATTTCAGTTTCTATGGGTAATTGGAGAATATATATATATCCCTCTTTATATTATGTGTAAATATATATTATAGAGAATAGACACATGATTTGTTCAATCATCAATAGGTTTAAAGTGTAAGGCGGGGGGGGGAGAAGGTTATATGAAGTGATTAAAGAAAGATAGACATATTTAACCGGTATAAGGGAAAAAAACAGTTTTGACAAGAAGCGAAAGAATATGAAGAACTATTGTTTTGTTTTCAAGGATAATAGTGAACCGTTAAATATAATAACAGATATGTTAAATTTAGATTATAATCATTTATCTTATGTAAATAATACAGTAACAAAAGTACTTAAATCTATAAATTATCAAATAGCTTTTCTTTTATTCAGTGGAACATCATCAACCTTTTTCAACTTATATAGAAATCAAACAAACTTCAGTGTATTTTCTTTTTTTGTAGTTTTATATTGTTAATTTGCTTTTTAAAGAATATAACTACTCTGGAATATATATATGATAAGCAAAGATGGATAGTGGATGGCAATGGAATCCAGGATGCGCGTTTCGTTCTATTTGAGACTCGTTAGCTGGATTTACCTGCATTTCAGGGTTGATGTTCACTCCGGGACTCGAACCCAGTACCGTTTGCTTCAAACGCCATCGCGTTATCCACTTAGCTACTGAGTTATGATAGCCGCTTGTTTGTGTAATAGGATGAAGTTTAAAATCACTTGGTATTTTCTTAGTCGAATCTTCCTATTGTGATTTAATACAATATCGAGGCAACACACGCAGTATGAACATATGCCAATGTTGTGGACCGCGGGGTGGTTACCATAATTTCTACAGACTGACCAACTTCAGATATCCCAGTACCACCCTAATACTGTTCCCCAATCTCCAATATATCAGAACACGAACCGTAGATGAAATTGTTTATGGGGTCAGGAGAAGAATAAGAATAGGAATAGGAATAATACTTTACAGACAAATGAATATTTATACATCTAGGATTACCGTGAATATTGACCAACAGGAAAATGACACGTGAAATATTGACCAGTAGGGAAACGACACGTGAAATAAATATTGACCAATATGAAAATGACACCATTTCACGTTCAAGAATAGCATTAGATTTAACAAAATAATTTTGGGGATATTTTACTGAATATCCCAACAACTTCATGGCAATATTTCTATGACCTCCGAACCAGCGAGTCGTGAAGAACTGACATGCTAGTCCTGTTCAGATTTCTTTAATACCATGGAACCATGTCACAAACTGAAAAAATTGCAAATTTGAGAGCTGTTCTCAGGACAGTTGGTATATATATATATATATATATATATATATATATACGCTTGTTAAATAATCATTTCATCGTTTTTTATATTGTCCTAACTGTAAACTCTTTTGAATCTTTGACTGTTGGAACATCTTTTATCAATTATAAATAACTGTTAAATAACTATAAATCTATTACCTAAGTTTTTGCCGGAAATATCCTAGTTATGTACATACTGAGACTTCTTATTTATGAAGCGGGTTGATATATTTTACTTATAAATTTAAGCCTTAAAAGAACAGAGTACTACTATGTAATTACATGGTCCCAACAGCCAATAAGATACTGATCAATTGCAGTCCTAAACATCAATGGGAAGATTCAAGTAAACAATACCAAGTGAATTTATATACATAACTTATTTGTAAAACGTCTTAAGATCATCTATGATGTTATTTACATTAAAAATGAGAATAATTTGGTTCCTTATAATTATAAAGTATAATCGTTAAATCAGATTTAGATAACAATTTATATAGTTTTTCTGAAAAGAGATTTAATACATACCCTTTGGACTGAATTTGGATTAGGATCTGTTTTGTTAATTAATGATTAAATATTCAATTGTAAGTAATTTATAATTTTGTTACTAATCTCTTTTGCATTGAATTATAAGTAAAAATATAGAAAATTAAAGTAAATACTTTGATTAACATTATTTAAAGCAGTTAGTCCCCTTGATAAATTTCGATAGTGCAATAAGAAGACGAAGATTATCAGAACTATGTGATATATTAGCGCAATACATTTCGAACAATCTGATCACACATATACTTGTTAAGAACATTTATATACAAAAATAAAAGGTCAACTAAACTGGAAACGGGGTAAGAGGAGACAAGGATAATAATAAGGGAGGAGTAAACGTGGTCTCAAAATTAGGGTGTGTGAACATGTACCAAAATGGTTGCAGAAACAAATACAATCAAGTGACCCAATAAGAGTAGAGAATAAACATCCATCATCCTTTATTGCTAAACATATCGAAACAGGCCATAAAGATTGATCTTAACTCGGCTTTTGTGGTGTTGTTTAAAAGTGTAAAATAGTGTATACTAAGGTTTATTGAAGCCTTAGCCATATGAAAATTCAAACCTGGTTTGTGTATTCAAAAACGGTTAGTTCTCACCTTAAACCTACCCTGGTAATATTGGCTTATTAACCACAGTGACTAGGTTTTAAATTGTGTACATTTTATTATTATTATCCTTGTTTCCTCTTACCCCATTTCCAGTTTAGTTGACCTTGTATTTTTATCTCAATGGTTAAGATCATGAGTCAATTGAAGCTGGACCACCATGGAAAACCTGGAAGCACTGGACGACCGTTTCGTCCCATTATGGGACTCCTCAGCAGTGCGCATCCACGACATAAATATTATTAACAAGTATATGTGTGATCAGATTATTCGAAATGCATTGCGCTAATATATCACATAGTTCTGATAATCTTCGTCGTCTTATTACATTAACATTATTTAATTTTAGAAGAAACGGAGATTTAGTAGATATAGTAAACATACTTAAAATGTTGAAATTGAAGTCATCAAATATTTTCAATGAAATTCAACAACCTCCACAAACACAGTAACAATTATCAAGTGTTCACTTGTGACTAACTTCAAAATGAAATTTCCAGAGTTCTAATGGATAATTTTGACTATTAAGGCTGAAATGTGTCGAGAAAGAGACAGTTTCCCCCCGGGGACAATGGATTAAAGTCGAATGTACACACTGTTGGATGCTGATTCAGTGGTCCAGTGTTTAGGCGTTCGCGCGCAAAACTGAATACATTGAGTCCGACTACCATGTTCAGGGTCGTGGATGAGCATTACGCAACCCGATGCTAGGACAAAACGGCCGTCCCGTGCCTCTGAATGTTGACCTAAATTCCACAAGTTCATCACTTGAATAGAACATTTTATTGACTAAGTCCTGTTTGTTAGTACGTACCTTGCCAACGATCATATTTAGAAGTATATCTACTGCCGTTGAAAATCAAATAATTTCACTGACGTTTTTTTAGATTACCAATTCTTATAACGTATTTAGTGTATTCATAAAGGAATACATCTGAGATTTGGAAATTATTAAAAGAAGTTTTACAGTTGAAATATTCAGTAATTCAAAGCACGATTAATTAACTAGATCTTTCCAAAATAGTAACAGTTGAATTAGAAAATATCTTAAATTCAAATTTTAAAATGATCAATGGCTACAACACATTTTTACATAAAGCAAAAACAGTTAAACTAAGATATCTTTCTCAGAATGGGTTTTGTGGAGATTTTAGAAATTTCACAGATTGAAATCATGAGTCAGTTGAAGCTAGACCACCATTGAAAACCTGGAAGCACTGGACGGCCGTTTCGTCCTAAGATATCTTTCATTTAATTAGGTTAAGTTGCTAAATAATTAAGTTTGATATAGTTTAAATAGTAGCAAGCAAATGAAATTTGGAAAATATTTTTCGTAAATAACAAAATGTTTTCCGAATTAAGTAAAGTTACTAAACTGACTAGCTGTCCTATAGCAACTAATAATTAATAAGTAAACCTGAACCCTTTTTTCCATTCTATCTATATCGTATTAAGTGAAGTTACTTATGGTTTTACCGTGTTGATTTCGTCAAAAAAAAATTGAATTTTATGGGTTATTGTGGATGATCATGTGGTATTAATCAGGATTTACTATTATATTGCGACGAGAATAATGAAAGGTAACTGTTGGGATCTATTTATGGATTTTTTACTATACATATACTTTTATTGTATAATTGTTAAGCAAATAAACTATGTATATTCATATTCTTTTCATTATAAGTTTTTATTTGACTTTTTTCATACGATTTACTATTCCTGAGATATTCCCAATTTATTAGTAACAGTCCTCAAAATCACAGCCACTTTTTTGACTTGATCTTGTACAAATATTATTTTCTACTTTATAGTATGATGTGGTCTAATTTTACTTGTATATCAACCAAGTATGTTTGAAATGTATGATTCATATCGCGGAGGCGTTCTGAACGTAACAACCAGGGTTAGGTTAATGAAGGACCAATCAGAACTCTACGCTACTCTCACACGTGTATGCGTTATTAGTTTGATCGTATAAGACAGCAATCGTATTTCACAATAATCGTATAACGAATGACGTAACATTTAGTAAGAACTAATAAACACTGATAATAATTTTGTATAAAATATAACTTGGATCATTAACTCTGTATAGACAATGGTAATTTATAGTTTAAATAATATCAATCCATCAATTTTACTAATCTAACAAATATTGACTCATAAAGAAACCTAATTAACGAGGCATATCATATACAAACAAACAGAAACAATATAATACTGACCAGAATGTAATTTAATTTGTCACTGTCGGGGTAACAACAAACATTTAACATTGAAAATGTTATTCAACAACTATATGTTGAAAACATTGACAGACAATAAAACGTTTTCATAAATTTCATATGTTACAAAAAATGTTTGGGTTAGTCTGTAAAAGCGAAAGGAAGAAAAACTAAGTTGGAAATAGACATATGAAAGATATTCGTATAATTTATGAATATTAAGAAAATGATGTGACGTACGCTATTTATATCGACAAATATAAGTACTATGTGACAATAACTAGAAAAGGAATGCATAGTAGCAGAAGGCTAA